ATAGAATTTATGACGAGTAGTTTATTTTATGAGTTATATGTATTTTGAATATAAAATTAAAACGGTGTGTTGTCATTCAAAAAGGTGTATTTAAAATTTCCAAAAATAAAAATTTGAATAAATTTATCACTAATAGAAAAATGAGTATGCTTGGTGAACCACCCTTCATAATTTTTTTGTATTAAACATAAATTAATAGAATTTTGATTACTCGGTCTTGCGATATTGGTAATAGAAGGTCGTTCCAAGTATAATATCCTATTTCGCATGCATTTCCTACATGCAACGTTTCCAGATTGGGTTATGTAATATTACATTACCACACATAATATTCACACAACACATGTAATATTATAATAGTAGTATACACATGATTTAAACTATTTTATACACGCACTAACCGTTAACACATATTATCTTATTTCGAAAATGTTTACATCTCTAATGTTAAATTGAAAAACTTAATGAGACAAATAAGATTATCTTACAGATAAATGCTTATTTTTAAAGATAATTTTACTGCGAATTTTAAACAGCGATCGTGACTGATACAATTGTTTTCTGTGTATAAAAGATTATAGAAAATCCTAATCATAGGTGTGGAGAAAAAATTATATATGAAAATATAAATCAACTAAAAATAACTGTGTTAAACAATGATAAAGCATTATTGTATACAGTATACATATTTGGTAATATGACTATTATTGCATGTTTACGTGAATTTCCAACCCACAACATATTATGTTATGTAGGCAACTGCACCTATTCTGAGTTTTATTTCTGGAAAAGCTGATGGAAAAATAAACTTATTTACACCTATATAATATATAGTTGCCCCTTGTAGTTACACCTAACTGAGATATACCTTAAAACAGAAAATATCAGAAAATTTTTCTTCTTATGATATATTGTACCCACACTGGGACACGCGAAATAATAATATCTATCAAAAAACAAATACTAAATAATAAGTTCAACTACCTTGTAGAAGGCTTCGCTCGTTATATTATTGCATATTTGATATGCTTTTATTGTATGAATAAATAATGGTTTTTGTTTTCCATTGATTTGATATTTTAGTTTGAGGATAAATATGCTATTCAAAAACATATCCAATAGTCGAGTTTAAGAAAGTAGGCATATTATTCATTATAATTACAGTGAATGATTGATTTTTCTAACGCACAATGCGTTCACAATGATACCTAACATTAAACGAACCTGGTGCCCTCTCAATTTCGCTGCCAAAAGTAATTAGTAGAAAATAATAAATAAAAAAGTAAAAATATGTAAATATTCAAGTGGTTATTTTAGTCAAAATACGACGTATTAAAAAACACCAAATATTTAACAAAAAGTTTTTGTTCAACGTACATTTTAAAAATTTGAATCGTACTAAAAATGAAAAGTACCTACTGAATATAAAAAAAGCATAGGACGAGCTAGAGAAACTAGTCACAGAATAGTACAACAGATATTGCGAATTTGAAAAATCGTTTACTTATCTTATCTGATTTATGATCCACTCATGACGTTTTCTGTTACTCTTTAAGGCAAATTGAATATATTTCCCTCCGAATTATTATTGATTATTAACAATATCGTATATGCATGCGGATAGATAAATAAAAAATAGAAAATATAAAAGAAAATATTATAGTTACTTCAAAACATGCTAAAATAATAATGAATATAAGTATGTTTTATTTTTGTTATGTTGTTCATTTTCAATTATAATTCGACATTTACATTCAATAAAATTAAGTATTTATATAAAAATCTACTCACGAGTAATTATCAACTGATAGACATATATTTATGTATAATATTCTGTTTGATTAAAAAACGAATAACACGATGACCGTCTATGGCAATGTCATGAGCCTTGATTTTGGTGCAGTACTGTCCTATAGTTAGTCCCTCTTGCAGAACTGATCTTAACTTCCAGAGGTACATTCTAAAACAGTCCTCAAAACGTATGTTTGCGGGAATCACGATGATTTCTCAGAAGAAATAACTACCTCTGAGATGTTATTTGTGCAGTATTAAAATAATTTCGTTGGAAAAAATTGGTATAGGCACCTATATAATATAATATTTTCATAATACGAATATCATGGTGTACCTACAACTATACTTTCTGCTTCCATTATATGGATACGATTGATTTTGATGGTTTTTCAAAAACTATTTGAGAATATCCGAACCACCGAAACCCCGCGAAACACATCTGCTCGGCATACATGTTATACTATGTATTATTGTTCTGCATATAATATAATGCATTGTTGCCTCATTGCTTGTTACGGTCTAATTACTAACCGTGTCTATTGGGGCCTGGGGGATTCACCTCTCAGCCACAGGGACACGGGGAAATAATTTTAATTGCTATTGCTGCTACCGAGCGAATAATATTATTAATGCGACTTTTTTTTTTATAGTGGCTACTAGAACTACCTACTGCATATAATGCATTTTTATTTTTAGAATAAAACACAATATTTCCATTTGCCTGTGTCAATTTCGTACACTGACCACTGACGATATTATTTTTCATCCATTTATAATAGAAGATAAAATGATGATAGCTATGCATGGTAATTCACCATAAGCATGATTACCTATAGTCCCCACTCGCCTAAATTTATCATTTAATTATGAATACAATTATTTTCAAAAGGGTTGGTTTTTAGTTTTTTACATAATGTTTGCAAAGCAGATTATTTAAAACAAAAGAATTATGTTTTTAAATAAAAATTCAAATGAGTAATTTCGAAAATCACAATTTGAATAAATACTTTATTAAAGGATAAAAGAAGGGCGAACATTGTTGATGAATAATAATGCACAGTGTAAAAATGTATAAATATAAATAATAAATGTATAATAATATAATAATATTATAAATATGTAGAGTTAAATAGAACAAATATTGATTTATAAAAACGCTAAACATTAATAAGTTGAAAAATGTAATTTATCACTTTATCGTCATTGGTCTGTCCATCGACGATTGACAATCAAAATATTATATCGTTGGTACTCTGATCTGGCCATTTTTAAATTTTATCAAATCTTTCAATAAACGTATCTGAGGACAAACTATACAGTCAAAATATTTAGAAGAAAGTTTTTCAAATGCAAAAATGTTATAATACTTTTGAATATATTATCACTTTTCACCACTATACTCTGTGTCCAGTCGAGAGCTTATAGCGAGCTTGGTGAGTGTTAAACATATTGTGTTATTACGAAGTTGGCACACATAGTTGATTTCTTGGAATAAAATATTAGCAACTTATAATTAACACAGTTTACTTGTTCAATAATAATAGTAGTTATATATTTTAGTTAAAACCTACCAAATATTGATATATATATATAATATTTTCACAAGTGCTTATGGAATTTATAAGGATATCGAAATCGTTACGTTCGGCCTGCGGGCTGAAAACAGAAAATACATTTTCAGTTATCTCATTTGGGAGGAAAATCTAATTTGTTTTTATCAGATTGCGGGAGAAAACGGAGCAGATCGACTGATCGACGATAAATCGGTTAATAAATTTCCGATAGCCGATAAGTCGACGGTGTCACAGTGGAATCGGGGCAAATGAGATAAAAATGAAAAATAGAATGGCACCGAAAGGGGGGAGGGGGAGAAGGTATAAAATAATACGAATTTCGAGAGCTCCCATATTATGTAGGCCTATATATTATTTTCCGTCCGGTCTACGGGGACGACCATGGCCGCGGGGTTAAAACCGGAGTGGCCGAGAGTTCGACCAGACGTGTTGAATGCAGAACACATTACATTAATATTATTATAATTTATAATTATATTTTGTTCTGAATGAGCAGAGTTGTTGACGGTTTAAATTCCGGTCGGAGTATACCCATTTAATGTACATGGAGTTAATGCCGTTATCTGCTGGCAGAAATGTTAATAAATATGCGCACGTGGTAATGAGGTTTTGCGTGGTAATTTATATATTATTCACATCCGTAATAATAATAATTATAATATATTATTTTTCGTCCGTCTATACTCTTTAGGGGAGCAATAATTTTACTGTCCGGCGTGAAAAATACCCGTATTGGTTTTGAGTAGAATTCATATTAGTACGTTCCCAGGGGCCATATGGAGCAACCCCCATCATCTCACCACAATAACACGTCACCGAAACATATATCTACCCCTATCCGACAGAGCCCCGTGGTTATTCTAACATAAATGCACATTTTGTGGCTCAAACGCGTTGAATATAATATTATAATTTGTATTTTAATGGTGCGGAAATTTTTATTTTTCAAAACGCGGTGTTCTGATTTTATTATTTTGTACGCTCGTTATCTTTAATGGAACGTGGTTTGGACTTTTTCACTTATGATGTATCACGCCAGTCTTCATGTCGACGATACGATCTTTTTTTTTAACTCCGAAAAAAGCTTCCCCACATCTACACCGTCAATATTTGACGTGCAAATATGAAAAGTTTCCATTGAAAGCGCGTGTCGCTTTAATGTTTAAATTGTACACGGGCAAGTTCTGTGTCGATAGAACTTTCACACGGTATCCAGCATTTTACCCTTTACACATTTTACGGTGGTCGTGTTTTAAATGAGTTTACGGTAACACATACACACGCACACAAGCAAGAGCGTCACACACACACACACACACACACACACACACACACACAACACAGTAGTACAATGAAATCGAATCACAAAAACACGACACGCGTGACGTATACACATATTATTATTATACAATAAAGAATGAGAAGCTATTTCAAACGATTCAAAACGATGATAATAATAATACATATTATACAGATATACTAATAAAATATTCACCGTGAAAAGGACGTACGTCACAGTCGTTTTTCTGTGACGGGCGTTTGATGAGAAAACAAAGTCACGCGAACACATTTTCGGCCAAAATAATATTTGCATAATGGCACAATAAATTAAATCGTACAAAGTTTACTTACCGACGAACCGCGATGGTACCGAGCAGCTATCCACGATCACGTGCTCGCGCGCACACACAAGGGGTGATGGTATGCAGGTGAGAAAACGTAATTGGAAATAATGTCCGCGGTGGTGATGGGTGTACAGTATAATATTAAAACAAAAAAAAAAAAATTCAAACTATTTTCACCGAACCAGAACGAAGACGACGATAATATACGGCATGAACACGAGTCCCTAGAGATCACATTTTTTTTGTTTTATTTAAAGCGGTGATTTTTTTTTTCTCCCATTTATCGATCATTCCGGTCGACAATAACCGTGTGCAGCCGCGAACACGCGCACGCAGAGACGAGACGCGCGTCGTGCGAAAACTGTATTGCGGGCCGCGGCGGCGCCGGTGACCGCGACGGCGACGACAGTTGTACAACAATATTAACACACTCACACACACACACACACACACACACACACACACACACACACACATCTACATGTATACGTAGGAATAGACGTGCGTTTCGATATTTACCTGTACACGGGCATAAATTATCGTACCTACCTAACCTACGCGTGTGCACACAGGTGTCGCCTCGTTACGACGATAACGATTTCCAAAGTACGTCACGCACGCACGCACGCACCGCGCCGCTCAGGTTCAGCCGAAATACATAATATAATATAACATGTAATACACATGGGCGTACATATACATATACATATACATATACATAATATGTATATATTGTATCATATATATGTATGTATATACGAGCGCAACGCATATACAGACCGCCGACAGACGTCATAGGACCAACGACGGTGATGTGCTCTCGTCACAGTCTACCTGAGTATTGTGGGTAAACATACCTACGTCCTAATATGCGCACACGTTTTTCGCGTTCCGAGACGAAAGCGTTCCTTATGTTGCGACAGTAATAATAATAATATTGTTATCGTCGCCGTCTGTCGTTCTTTTCAACCCCTCTTCCCCCCTTTCGCACAGCAGTCGCCGACCGCGAGTATGAATCATTAAATTATTATTGTACCCTACGAATACGTACGGATTAGCTGATATCATATACGCCTACTACCTGTTGTGCCGCACGTTTCGCGGCGCTCCGTCCGGAAGTAGCGTGGGCCCAGAGGTGGGCAAAATTATAGTGAAAACACTTTACTAGAGTTACATCAAGTCGACGATAAGGACGTCAGAAGTTATCAAACAATCCGTTTCACTGATAAAGTCCAAAGTTGACTCGGAGAAAGATGTACCTACCTAAACCTAATCTTAACTCTGCTAAATAGGAGTTGATGAACTTTATTTTAGTGACCTGATGGATCACACATAGATCGTTGAGAAACCGTCACCATTTAAAATGTACAACTAAACATTTGGTCAAAAACACTTATTATTGGCCAGTAGCAGATCCGCAGATCCAGGAGGCAAAGGGGGCATCTCCCCCCAAACACCTAAGTTGCCCTATGTTTAACCCTCGTTTTCCACTGGAATGCAGTAGGTGGGTAATGGATGTCTACAGTATTGACGTTTTAAATTGTTTTGTTCTCCCCCCCCCTCCCAATTAAGTACCAGTATTATTTAAAATCATTGTATTCAGTTTCATTAAACAAACATTAATTAAACAACTTGTTTTACCTTCATTCACACTTGTAGATTTTTTCATGGCCGGCTCAAGCAAAAAAGAAAAATCAAATTTTGCCAACAATAAAAAAAAAGCTAGTAAGTATAATAGTTCTATCAACTTGTTTCTACATATACACTCAAGAATTGATTTTGGCAAAAGTAAAACGTTTTTGCTAAGATATAATTGCACCATACATTTCAACAGCAATTTTATTATATCTGAAGTTGATCCATCACTTGATGTTAGTGCTATTCGTAAGTCTTTATAATTTTTTATAAGTCCATCAAATTTGGAAATCTTAGTTATATTATAGAGAAATGAAAATAAATCGCTGCGTTCTGTAAGTTGTGAAAATCTGTCATTAATTGATTAATATGATACATATCATATGTTTATAAATATGATCTTAACTTGAAGTAGTAGTTTTCAATCTAGTGGAAAAATTGTTTATTACAATTAATTCATTAAATAAGTACCCATAGTAAAGTTATTAAGTTGACTAAAAATTAATTAACTAGTTAACTTAAAAGTAACTTTTTAACTTTCGACTTGTTAATACTTAGCCTTCTTCGCATGTTTTATTTATAGACTATAGTGTCATCGGCCCGAAACGCACAGATGCCCAAAAAGTATTATAGATAGGTATTTAGATGAAAATGAGTTAATAATAAACTAAAATATAATAAATTTACTGTCGAGTTCCAATAAATTGTACGAATCTCAACGGGAATACGTCATATACATTCTTCTGATGTATTTTTCTAGTTATATTTCTCAATTATTACAACATGAAAACACTTCAGGGGACAACAAATTCAAATTATCTAGACTCGACTGTACTGTAAATGTACGTAACGCCACATTTAATTGATGTGATGCGTCAATATTCGATACGCGTGCGTACCTATATTAATTATGTCAGGTCTTTAGCTTTTATATCGTCTCGACTTTTGTTTCCACGCGTGCACGTGCAAACTATACCAATTCAAATTATAATATTAATATCAGCGAACATCGTATATTATATTATTATTAAATATATTATTATGTACATGATTGGCACAATAATTTATTTAAGTGCTCCATATCCTACAGTATAGACAGGTTATTGTGACGACTGACGACGCACGCGACACCGGCCGTCTGTTGCAGTGACAATAAAAAACGTATTGTAAGTATTCGCGTGCACATATTATTATTATACTCCGCAGCGGTATAATTGAAAAGTCATAGCGTATCAATGTATAATAGCTGTTATCTAAATAGCGCTAAAAATGCATAGCTGAGTATTTGTATTTTCTGCAATTTTCGCACCGAACAGAAGTTTGACAGCTATATGCAATATAAATATTTAGGGCACACGCTTCGTATTTATGATAATGCAGTTGCGATAAATATTCGTTTAACCTCTTAATAGTAATTACATATTTTTACTGGAGCAGATTGTCAGACTGATTTTCCATTTAAATAATATGATATGTATAATAGGTATAGTGCATTGCGTATGGCGCTAAAACCGTGATTTTAGATTCTCAGCTGAACGACGAATGCATTGATTTTACAAAAAGGTGTAAACGGGTTTTGTACAAAACACGAAATTGTGCCCTTCTGTGTTTTTCACGTACATTATACGCTTATTTTTCAGGTTTTGACAGGAAATTGTTATGAGACACTACAAGTCTGAATCTTAAACTGATAAATTTAAAACGAGACAATTTAACTCGTGTTTACCTTTTTATCATTGGGACCCGATTCGTAAATATATATATATTTGAAAAAATGATACATAATGTAATTTAATGTTATATATTATAGACTTTGTACACAAATTTGGAAAAACCTTTTTCAGCCTGAGCTGTTGAAGTTTCAAAATCAATAAAAAATAATCTTATGTATATCTTATACATGAATTATAAAAGAAAAAAGGTTTGATCTTGAAATTCGAGAGTGGTTTCTGATAAAAAATTGGATCTAGTTAAAAACTTCTATAAAGTTTAGAACTTCAAGTTTAAAATACTTTTGGGGAAATTTCCGATAGTTGCAAAATTTCTAGCATTTTTCAAAATAATAAGGAAAATTGAAAATTATTAATATAAACACGTGGTAAACCGATAATTTTTACGCAAAATTCGTTTTTGACAATACGATTTTCTTATTTTGTTGTGATTCAAGTAAATACTTGAAATGTTTGCCAAATTTTTATAATAGCATTTGTTATCGACCCGTGGTAACATTTACAAAATATTTGAAGTTTCTTTGAGCTATTTATAGCCATTTTTGTTTTCTTCAGTTAATTATTTATCTAAATGTCGATAACAATTATTCCTCTTTATCAATAAGCTTGAAAACTGAATTCAAGGTTCCTTATACGTACTTCATTCTGAAACCAAAAAAATATACAAACACAGTTTTTTAAACAGACTTTTGAAGTTCAAGTTTGGACAAAAATAGATATTTAAATTATAAGAATAATTATTTTAGTATTAGTTTGTTGTGATACAAAAATATTATTTTTGGGGACTTGAAACTACCTATACGCAATGATATTTAAAAAATATTTATTCCGTTTAAAGTAAAAGTACTTTAATAAAAATGTAATGTTACGGACAAAGTTTACAATTTGGGCATTTTATACGATGCCTGGACATTAAAATGAATGCCTAAATTGTATACTTTGCCCGTAACACAAATATATCATAAAATATATACTTAATAGTAATAAAGGTGGCTGACTGTCATCGTTCTTTTATCCAATTTTTACTTATACAGTATTACACCTGACACTTTGATTTTCACACAACTATCAACATGGTCTTGAATAAGCAAAAGTTTTTACAAATACCTAGTCATGTTAGGGATAGGTATGTGCAGGAATATCCTGGCGTACATTGAGCGATCGAGCAATATTAATAATAATTATTTAAATACGCCTTGCTATATTGTACTGACCATTTATAGAAAGACCAATTTATCACGTGAAATGTGAACTTATACAATAATTAATAATCATATATTATGGTCTATGGGTATACGTGCAGATAAATGATGTGGTTCAGCTGCACAACAATTTAAGAACTATTAAAACTAAAATTCTTGTTAAAAATTTTCTATCTCAGTTTATAACTTATGATAAGTATTGCATAAGATAAACTATAGTGGTCGACTATATTCGATTTACCATCTACTATACAGGTGGTTTATTAGGTTCTTATATCTATTATAATAGGGATTGTGAATGTACTTGATAATAATTCTCATATATTTTTATGGCTTTGACATTTCCAAATGTACAAAATATAAAATGTTAGTTCATTACTTTCGTTCGGATTACCTACTACATAATATGTCGAAAGAATCCCCCTTCAGTATATATATAATACGATAGGTAATTTTTTTTAAATTGTTTTTTTTAAACACAGATAGTTTACATTAAGTTTTAGATTCTTGTTTAAATTCTTGTTTAAATTATTATTGAATATTATGGTTGATTGTCCAGAATTGCTTGATCAATATTAAACTTTAAAGTCAATCCAACTAACTCCAGAAATAAACCCACATTTATCTGTCAAATGTTAACACTAAATATATGTATATAACATACATATAAAAAAGTTATTTAAGTTTGGAATAATGCGTTTTTAAACAATAAGAACTTTTCTTGAATTCGTGATATCGAAAAAAATAAAAACGATGTTGCACAGTAAATTTTCTGTTGACTATAGCGTGAAA